AGCTAAGGAAGCCAGCTGAAAACCTGGCCCACTCCATTTTGGGTCTGGTTAGGAAAATAAAAAGAGACTAAACTTCCAAATGGAGAATCATAATTCATAACTGCTGTCTTTTCCATATTTCTACACACATCATTAGAGAATAAACTGTTAGCATATGCCAGTTCTTACCACCAAAAAAAAAAAAAATCCTGTTTTAAAGTAGAGGAAAGTAACTGCAGTGAAGAGCTACATCTGGAAGTCCTGCATAATTGTGAATTGCTCCTTCCAATTCAGAATATTCTAAGCAGTAGCTATTGGCAAACATTGTTTCATATCTTCGGAGTAATTCAAGATTTTTCAGGATTATTTCAGCTTTTTTTCCTCATTGAGAGCATTAAATTGAGAACATTAAATTAAAGTCTTACTGTTTGGCAGAAGACAACTTTAATTCAAACCAAGTGACACATGCACCACTGAAAACTCCAAATGCACACAAAATTTCATTTATAACTTTACTGCTCGCTCCTGCCTGCTGTTTTGATCATGGAAATGTTCTTATGATGAGGACTGGGCAATTGCCATGACACCATGGCTGTAAATATTGACATCGTGTCCTGTCTTGGAAGTTTTAGAACTGAAACATCAGAGCTGTTCCCCAGCTAAAGCATGCAGGTTTCAGTCAAGTATGGGATAATCAAACTGAGAAATAGAAACCAAGGTGCCACATCCACAAGTCTACACAAACACCAATTCTACAGACCCTGAACTATCCAACACTGACCCTGACTGAATTTCAATGCTATGTTCTCTACAATCACAGGAGAGCTGTCATTTTGTCTATAAGGGGGATTAATACCAACTATAATTCCTCACGCTGTGCCCACTCAATGAATAGCAGATTCAATTCAGTGTTTCTTAGTTCCAAAACACTAATATGAAAGATTGGTTGGCCTGCCTCTGCCAGCTGCACAAAAATCAGCTCATGCCAAATCCATCTTAGCCCAGAACATTATTATAAACAGATCATTTATTTGACTTTCCATAACAGAGACATTCAATGAACTGCCTGAGCTGGAAACCAGCAGAGGGGAAAGACTTGATACCTATAAAAGAAGCAAGTTGAACACATCCAGCCATTTAGGGGCACTGAGATCTCTTTTCCCATTCTCATCCTAACGTTAGCATTGTCTTCACAAGGAAGGAAGATAGAGCTCATTCACTCCTGGTGGAAATATCCAGTGGGAAATGTATCTGCACAAAATAAGCCAGAAATACTTAATACTAAAAGACAGCTGGCTTTCTCCAAAAATAATTGTGCTAGAAATCTTTGAGCACTAATTTTCACTGGACATCCATTTTATGTGTTAGTCACACCGTGTTCAGGTTGTGCTACAATGCTAGATCAAATATTAAACAGCAATATTGTTTTCTTCTGTCTTCTCCCAAAGTCCAATTTAGGTTTTTACCTTGATTTGCCCACAGAATCCCTCTAACTGTGAGAGCAGAAAAAAATGGAGGGCACTGTCCTGCTCCTAGAGAAAGTTTCAGTGCTGCAATCATTGAACTGCAGGATCTAAAATAATCAGCACAACTCTTCTGCCCAAAGCTTTATTTGAAACTGCATGGATAAAAAAGTGTCAGCAAGAGAAACAGCTGTATCAACTCAAGAGTACAGATAATGCAAACAAAAAAATCTTTTTTTTTTTTCCTGAGAGGATGAAGGATTTTTTAGAATATATTTACAGGAATATGGCATAATGTACCAGTGTTTATATATTCAGAGCTCAGATTTTATCTGTGGACAAGTCTGCAACACCTAACAAATCCGTATAGGAATAAAAGATTTCTACCAAATCTCAGAAGTATGATAATTTATAGATGAATCATCTGACTTTTACTTTCAAACAAGGAAGGCTGTTTAGCCTTAGCCTTTAAAGTACTATTCCAATTCATATTAAATATTTCTTTGCAGAGTAACTCTTTCCTCCCGTTTATTATTCAGGTTTTTCTCAAGGCTCCCTCTGTTGCATCATTTGTTTTCTGTATGCAAGCAGCCCCGTTAAATTCCTGCTGAGCAGTGGGTGACATTTCTTCATTCTTCACGTAGTTTCCACAGTCTCTCAGATACCCAAGCACATTCAAGAAGGCTTTTTTTTTTCCTACAACTTATTTGATTAAGGCAAGAGATTCACAGTTTCAGCAATTTCCCCTCTGCTCTCTGCAATACAAACACCCCCAGCCCCAGCTGCAAGAGGTTTTAACTCAATAAAATTTAGGGATCCTTTTTCTGGAGTTGTTCCATTTTAGTTTTCTCATTCAGGAGGAGATTTGTTCTTCAAGACTATTTTCCAGTTGCTATAAACCAGGGAAGAACAGAGTCCCAGGTTGTGATGTGACTATGAGCACACCCTTACATCTGCTGACAAAAAATAGTACCTAGAGCCACAAAGTATGCCAGAAAAGCAGAATTTAAGAAGGCATGCCTATCTATTATCAATTTTATAAATTTTCAATTATTAGGTCATGTGTCACCAAGACCAACAGGTTCTGGAAAACACCAGTGTCTGAGAAACCGTCAGTGGACTGGAGAAACTAAAAAGAGAATATCACGACTTGCACAGAGAAGTTTAAGATATTCACTAAAGGCCTCTTCACATTAAATGCTGTGAGAAATAAAATACAGGTCTTTATTAAAATGGGTGTGCTCATACAAAATTTCTCCTTGACATTTTTGAAGTATTGTAATTTTTCCCAGAAACCAAGATCTATACAGCTCAGAACTCAAATGTTTTGTTTGGAAAAAGAAAAACAAAAACAAAGACTATTTGCTTTTCGTACCTGCTTTATTGTTGAGAAATCCATAAGAGAAAGAAAACCCTCTTCTCTTAATGTATTTCCTGTGCTCATTAACAGGAGTGACAGGTTCCTCATGGGAAAGGGGGGGACTCCAGCACAACGTGCTTCTCCTACAGGGATATCAGCCCCTTTTCAGAAATTTTGGCTGCCAACTGACAAGACTGGCCCAAGGATAAAGAACAAGGCTCAGTCTGTCACTGTCTCACTGTAAGAGTCCTTCCAATTGCTCATAAAGCCACTGGTGCAAAGGAATCCCCGAGGTGACAAAAGCCACTGGACACTGTGGCAAAACCAATGAATGAGACAGAAAATGGTCATTAGTGTTCATTAGAGCTGGAAAACACACCAGCCCACCACTGCAGCCTCTGCCACATAATTGCTTTTCCAAACTTATCCAGACATTGTTAAATCACAAAAAAATCAGAGGCCAGAAAGAGCTTCCAGTCCACCCTCCCAGCAGTGCTGGTGATTGTAAGGTGACTCTTCTGTAAGTGCATCAGATAAAAGATCCAGTGCCACAGTCAGAGTGTGGGCTCTGGTTTCCATCCAGCCCCAGACTTTAAACAAAATATAACTGGAAATTCATTTTGGTCAAAACCCCACAAGTCTCACGGCAGATACAGAACTTCCACATAATGCCTGGATGAGTTCTGCCAGACACAGGCACATCTGAGCACATATTTGAGACAGAAAGGCCTGAAGGCAAGGCAGAGGCTTTAGATGCTGTCTATTACTAAATGTTTTTCCAAATAAAATGAGAGTGAAACATTAGTAAAGCCTGTCCGTCACTGACAATGTCACTTAACAGACCTACACTGGTAGAATGGGGTGTGCCAACAAAAACAAAACAGGTTTTACTGATTCTAGATCTTCTCATTTCCTAAGTCCTCTGGCAAAAATTGATTTAAACCTGTTCACTTCCAAGGATTTATAAACATGCATACCTAATGGACTAGCTAGGTCAACCATGGTATGAGCTACAACACACAAATCAGGTTAAGAGCTACATTTGGAAGGGTGGTTTTGACTTTCCACTGCACCGTACATTTAAAGAAATGTAGCATGTCAAAAGCATGAAGATTGTAAATTCAAACACTTACTCCTCTCATACCACAAAACCAAGTTAGTACTAAAGCAGCAATACTGCAAGGATTTGTCTTTCAAGAAATTTTAATATATGAAGATGACATGATAAGAAAATATTGATACTGAGGATTTTGGCAGTAAAAAAACTTCTGTTAGAAGTCAGTTTTGACAATTCTTTGAATCTAAAAGGCCTATAAGTACAAAAATGTCATCTGTTGATCCATGTGAGATTTAGCTTTGGCAGTGTTTCAAAAGTGAAAAAAACACTTTGTTATATATTTTCTCTACGACAATGTATTTTCAAAGCTAAGAGTTCATATTCTCTCGAGAAGAACAGTAAGATGCATATCAGTTACAGAAATATTTGCAGAAAATAGCTAAGTTTAAAAACTCACAACAGTCAATGGGACAAACTGTGGATAAAAGCATAAAGTATGGAATTTACTGTCAAGACTGGGAACTTAAAAGCTTTCAAATAATTTCTTCAATTCAGACATTCATTGCTCTGTTCAAACTAAATTAAACAAACCACTTGGAATCTAACCTGGTTATCTCCATATAAATTTGTCTATTGTTAAGTGATGTCATTATCACAACCTCTCCCTTTTTTCTTTTTCTTTTTTTTTATTATGGACAATTCAATATACAGGAAAATGGAGCTGTCTGGTTCATAGGGCTATATTTTTTAAAACTTTACAAATGAAAAGGAGAGACAGAAGGTTATAAAACAAAGTAAGACAAGCAGTGCACTAACTGTTAATCCCTGACCTCTTCCAAACCACTGCAAAACTGTTAAAAGTTGCCTGAGCTGTTTTTATGCAATTTAGCTTTGGTCTTTTTCAACAGACACAGGGTGAAAAAGCCCTTTAAAAATGGGTCTACACATCAAATAATAGGAGATCTGTAATTTTTTTTTGTATGAAAAAAATGATCTTTAATTTACATTGAAGAAAATTCCTGTGAAAAGATTATTCACTAACTGCAGTTGATGATCCATCCAACTATGGTGATTCTGTGCTCAGCTGATAAAGACATTAAAATAACAAGAAATTATTACATCTAATTTTCTGAATACTTACAGATTCTTGGATTTGAATGCTTCAGCAAAGTGCTGCACACTCTGAAGAGAAGCAAGGTCTAAGGTCATTGCCTCTACCTTGGCTTTATGCTGGAATAAGAGAAAAAATAAAAAAAGATAAATAACAGCAAGTTCAGTTCACAGTATCACATTACAGTAAATGTGTTATGAAACTTGTCTGATTCCCTTGTTTAACATTATAACCCCAGAGTGAATACAAATCATCAAAAGGGATGGACAAGCACAATATTTAGTGCCAAAAGTGCATTTGTGATTTGGTGATTCTGCTAAAAACATACACTATGTAATGCATAGCTTCATAAAATGCAGTGAATCCACTCAAGGCAGTGTTAAGGTTAATAAGTATCTTTTTGCTTTGATTTTGGTGGTGAAACCTATGTAACTCATGAAATAAAAAGTAGAATAAGTGCTATTCTCGATACATGCTGGTTTTTAGGTACCATACCAATAGGGAAAAAAAAATCAGTAAATACTTTATAAAAAAACCAGCTAACTTGAGATTGGTGCATATTAACAAAATAAAAATCTATTTTTCATAGCGGGTGATATAAAAGACAGTATAAAATGACTACAGAAAATAACAGATCCGAGTCTACACAGTGCTTTATACAATAACAGTTTACCAGGGCATATTATAAATGCACTTCCCTGTGAGGGTGGGGAGACCCTGGCACAGGTTGCCCAGAGAAGCTGTGGGCTCCCCATCCCTGGAAGTGTCCAAGGCCAGGCTGGACAGGGCTTGGAGCAGCCTGGGATAGTGGAAGGTGCAACAAGAGGGGCTTTAAGGCCCAACCCAAACCATTCTGTGATTCTGTGCCTTCAAAAGAAATTCTGTATATACCTAAAGCAAACTTTTCACATAGGAGAGGACACACTATCCCAAAACACAATTTCCAGCTTTAAGATCCCTCTTTCCAGATATTTTCAAACTCCAAATCTCAGAACAAAATGAAGCAAAAGCCTATTTTCATCACAACACTAAAGTCACCACAGAACCAAGTAGCTGGCAGTTTCAGCAGGGATCTGCTGGGATTACACCATGAGCATTGCTGCAGGAATGAAAGGACAGCAGCACACAGGTCAGCACACAGGAAAGCCTGGAAGAGTTTCCCATTGTCTCCCAAGCTCAAGTGATCCATCTGATCTCCCCATTTCATTACATCTGGCACTTTTCTCCCTACATCTGTTTTCTGTTTTGCTTGTACCCATTCTGCCTGCTACAAGTACCTTACAGGCTTGGTTTAAAACAGAATATCACTCCAGTTCCTCTTGTCCCATTCCAGCCAGACTTATCAGGACTGCAAAATAAACACAACTAAAATTTCAACAGGTTCAGTCTCCATAGGAAGTATCAATTGCTGGAGTCGGAAAATGCTAAACCAAACTTTGCTACAAAGAGTTTTTTTACCCCCACAAGATGTACATCATTCTGGAATTCGTTTTGCCCACTGGGTAAATATTTTCTTCTGTTTGATGGTCAGAGACTTGAGAAAGATGATGCTGCCTTGCATTATGCAACAGAACTCCAGAACAATTTCTCTTCAGCTGTGCAGTTCAAAGCTGTTTACTCACTACAGAAGTGGTGTGCAGACTTGGGTTTATTCTGCTTTCCTCAGCTGAAACATTCTCCTGTCTCTCCCAAGGGTCAAAGGACAAGAATGCTTCAAATACAGGGACATAAGGGGGTCAAAAATCAAAATAATCAAGTAGTTCAGCAGACCAGACCACAAGCTGTCAGCTACTGTCCTCTTGGGGACAAGGATCCAAGTCCTGATCCAGGTATCACTCAGATGATGCTTTTCCTCCTGGTGTCACACATTAGGCTTCTGCTACTGATTCCAAGAACAGAAAATAAACTTCTGTATTTCAAGTAAAAAAAAAAAAAAAAAAGGAAATATGAAGCCTCCAAAATACTTTCCGAAATAGAAGTTAAGCAGATTGGCCTGGATTTGGGGATTTAAATCAGAAATTTAAAAATCATAATAGTTTTTCAACTTTATCCATGCTTTTGCTGTTCAAAACCTTGATGGTTGCAGCCTGTATTTTTTTCATGTGCACAGAAGGCACATACTGAGCACACACACACATTTACTCTGTTTTCCTTATAGGAAAAACTCGAGAATGGGGCATCCAAAACAGTCAGAACCTGACACCTCAGCTTCTGAAGGCACTCGAAAAGCCAAGTGTGAGTGTTTTCTCCAAGCACAACTGGGGAGGAAACCAGTTTAATGTACCATGAGCTTAGGAAAATTCCCCAACTTCTTTGTTTCAGCCTCTCCCATCGACTGAGAATCCAGCACTCTCACCCCACAGAGGTTTTCTGCAGACCACCAATTCCTACCACAGTGGGAGACGAGAAATGCTAAACCTTTAGTATCAATTCATTTTTATTCCAGATTTTCCCACTGTTACTTATATCACAATACCTTTTTTTAAATAACCTATGAATAAGGCAATATACTTGCAAGGTACGTTCTTAATAATGTAAGAATATCTCCATTAAATGACAAGTAGAAGGTTTTATGTTTGTTTTCTTACAGTACCTCAGAATTACCTCTGTTACAATGTTTTCTCTCTTTCCCTAGAAGCCTAGGTGCTATATCTTGTGATATGTATACAAGAGCATAGGGGATTTTAATAAAAAATAAAACTAAAAATCATTTTTGCTAAAAGGCATCTTAACTGTAATTGTTCTTTGCAGTCAGAACTGATTCTTAATGGTATGCTGCAAATCCTGAGCTAATGTGTCATAATTGTATTATGCTGATGTCTCTCACTACTTCACTTCACATGTTTTCAGTACTGAATTATGCCTCATTTTATGTTAGGAAACCTTAAATGAGACTTGCCACCTTCCCAAATACAGGAGACAATCTTTAAACTGCCATCTTCAAATCAATACATTAAGGCAGGAAACCCCAGAATTCTGAAAATTAAATTGACAAAAGGTATTAATGTCCCCTCTACTACTTTATTTTCAATTACATCATTTAAGGAGAAAGTAGATAATGAAATGAGTGTAGAATAATTTAAAGAGCTCTTTTCCAAACCACAGGATCATAACTACTTGGTGCCATTGAAAGGCTGTGCAAAATGAGCTGCTGTCCTTGCTGCAGAGTGCCAGGACAAATGTCCCACCTGCATCCAGAGCCACCTTCAGGACTAGAGCCAGAGCAGCTCTGGCAAGGAGAGCAGCACAAGGGGTGGGCACCCTTCTGCTGCCTGCTGGACCTGTGAAATCCAGCTCAGCCACAACCAGCTGAGCCTTCTGAGTCTGGAATTGGGGGTATTTGTATTTCATTAAGGCCAACGAGCATTCAAGGCTAACAATGTCCAGGCATCAACGTGGTGCCTTTGAAGAAACAGCCAAAGGCAAATCAATCTCCACTTCCAAACATTTCCAGTTCCTCTTCTAAACCCAACACAATAACACTTTGAAAAGTGCAAAGAAACAAGTTTATCTTGTATTTCATGTTTCACACCCAGTTCTTAAAGCCTTTCATCAATATTTCCAGGTAAGTTTCATTACTCTACACAACCTCAGAAAACAGCTTGTTTAGTTTTGTATGTAAGCTGCTCCCGATTGGAGCAAATATATTAAAAACACTTAAGTGCAATTGGCTATATTTTGCACTCATGCTAGAAAAATGCTTATTTAGCCAGAAAGTAACACAAAAGTGAAAACCTCCAGAAAAGCCAGCTATTTCACTATATGCAATGCATTCACTTTACAGCTTAAAAATTGTTTAAAAATGAACACTGCATGGTAGAGTAGTTTGGCAGTAAACATGATTGTGCATTTGTGTCTTGGTATTGAAGAAGGAGCCTTTTTTCATAGTGAATTTTTCATTCAAATGTAAGTGATGATTTACGTTAAATATAGGTAAAGCATAGCTACATTTTCCTGAAGGATTGCAAGGAAGTGAAGAGCAGTACAATAAGTTGAAGCATAAAAGCTTTCTCTGTCATAATATTTATTATAATGGCATATAAAATAGCTGAAATAAATAATAGATGACTAAAAGTAAATTCATATGATAAAGAATCTTTCAGCAGACACCATTACTTCTGACTGCTCCAGTTTCATACAGAGTTGAAGAGTCTTAATAAATATGCTGTAGCCCCTGTATCTTATGTAAGTACAAGTCATTTTGTGAAGGCCTACTTAAAATGTACTGTAGTGGACACTACATAATTTACTGTATAATTTTACTCTCAGAAAATAGTGTGTGTACATCTTCAATGTTTAAAAGTCCTTAACTCAAAACTGAATACTTAGCACAACAACAGGAATATCTGACTTTGAGGAACTGAAAGTACAATCAATTGGTAAAAAGCAGTTTAATTTAATACAGAAAAATCTTCATGACTACGTCTTGGAATGCAGATAGTCCTGACAGGCTGTCTAAGAAAGAAAATCTTCTGGGAAAAAAAAAAGAATTTTACATCAAAGCTGACGAAAAATCTGTGGAATTAGCTGAAAATAGGTAAATAAATAACCAAATCTCAGCATATGACAAGCAACACCCAAATAAGCTCATATTTCCATGTTGAGGATGGAGCAGGGGATGTTTTAGAAGCACATCTGACAATTTGACACATAGCTTATGACAGTCAATAGCCAGTGCCATGCACTATTTATGGGGGTACCTAATGGGGAAAAAGGCTTTCACTCAGGATTAGGACTGCAAATATTATTGTCCCTAATGTAGTCAACATTTGGTACTTCATGCAAAACTGTATTTATGCAATGGCAGCCTCACCTGGCTGTGTGCTCTGAGTGCTCTGCAGCTCCTTGCAGCTGATGGGGATGGATGCATCCCCCTGCCTTCAGAGCAACCCAGCACCTCTGGGAGATGCTTTAATAATGTGTCCTTCTGCTACCTTTGGGATGCCTCAATAAAGTTCATTAGAAGACCTCGTGGTGGAACGTTTTTACACTCATTTTTTCTAGTTGCCACCCCTCCTCCTCCCCCCCAATATCAGCAGTTCTAATTTCTGCTAACTTTAAAATATGCAAACCAATTTCCCAAATATTAACCATTTTACTAACCCACTTATGAGATGTA